AATAATAATTTATCAGTATAATTTTTCAAATAATAGTAATAATTTAAATTGATGATCAGTGAAAATCATAAGAAAAATAAGAAAAAATACTTAAAATTGTGGAGCTGAATATTTGTAATTCTATATTATTCTTATTTTTACTTAATTTTATAAAAATAGTATTACATAAAATCATAAAACACCATAAATAAGCAAAATTACATAAAATTATAGAGCAAAATATTTGGAATCTTTCAAAAAAATTATTTTTAATTATTTATAAAATTAAAATAGTAGTATTAATTTAAATTGATTAAAGGTATAAAAACATGAAAAATAAACCAAGATCAACATAACATGATTAGCCCAGAGCACAGAGGCATACATAGTGACTAGTTTAGCAAAGAAGGACAGAGTACAAATCAAAATTTGTGGTGGCATAACCACACGTCCACACCATATTAAAAGTAAACAAGCTAGCCCCAAGTCTTATATATAATATAGGCAACATATCAGATAATAGAATGGATCCAGAAAGGAGCATGGTTAAGCATTGTTGCACCTAGAGGTTCAAAGGAATGAACCGTACCAGAGGCTAGATCGTATGAACCAAGACCATGGCCAATGTAATAGATGGAATTAGGTTTGAGCCCCGGGTACATGCTTGACGAAAGACACAAGGCTTCACCCTTGCTAAGGAAGATGCATAGATCTCCAATATCTTCCGTGTAGCTAAAGTATCTGCTCTTTTCGTCTTCCCTAAACACCATGAACCGCTTGGTTTTGCTGTGTATGCCTTTCGCTTCCCCGTTGTTGTATTCATCTATGTGTGTACACTGTGTGTACCTGTTCAGAGATAGAAGTACGCTAAATCTTTAATCGAAGTTTCTTGGTTAAAAAAAAAAAAAAAAAAAAAAACAGATTTGAGAAACTTACGTACCACTTGACCAAGAAACGATCACCAGAGGGAGATTCCACCAAGTGCCTGCTCGTGAAACATCTATCCAACATCTCCCCAGGGATCTTAGGGAAGTTGCAGAGACGCACTTCTTGATACTTGATCTTCCTCTTCTCGTTGTTGTTGCTTAGATGCAGTGAACCCATGTAGAGACCCTTAGCACTCGTGAAATAGAAGGCTTTGTCTCTCTTGGAATACATGAGCTCAGAGGCTGGAACGAGAGGTAGAGAGGTCTCTATGTGAATCCACTCCAAGTTCAAACAAGGCTTGCATACACTTAGATGAGTTCCGCAAAACTTTGCAGCCACAGTGAAATCTTGGTCTTGGTCAGGACAAGAAGACGAAAGAGACAACTCAGTAGTAAAGGGACGCGGATGAAAACCAAGGGAAGGCAAAGGTATGACTCTTGGGGATGAGACAAGTGGCTTATACAGATCCGTCAGATTTATAGGGAGATCTTTACTATCCATAGAAGCAACCCATCCTTGCGATGATCCAACGAGTGTTTGACCAATCAGCTCCTTGGGAAGCTTCTTCTCGGAGGTAGTCACTACTTGTTCAGTCCTCGGGTCGAATATTCTGTATCTTACGATCCTGTCAACACCCTCCCGAGACTCTTTGACCGTCTTATCACTCAAAAGGAAACATGGAGATTCCGGCAAAGATGAGAAGAATCGAGCACTGACCACTCTATATGCCTGTCATCAGTATTCTAGTCAACACAACATATAATAAAACAGCGTGGAGTTTGGTGTTAATGTCTTACAGATAGATTCCTGACTCGGCTGATAAACAGAGACATATTTTCTTCTTCCTTTAGCTTGCTTCAGGAAGAAATAATATGCCCTAATTGATTATAGATAGCTTACAGGGTCGGCTCTGGAATATTTCTCTTTCCCTGAAGCCCTAGTTAGCTTTCTTTTCCTTGCTGCAAAAGCAACTTTGACCCTTTTTAACCGCCACAGCCCAAACCCAAACTACTTCAACTAGTCATTCGATAATGTTTAGGCCCTTTCTATTTCTTTAAATCGTAACCGAAATCGAATGAGTATCTGACTTGTGCATATCAATACTTAAAATTAAAATTATAAATCAAATATATTAGCTTTCAAAAAAGAAATCAAATATATTAGTTCAAGTGTGTATCTATCCCGTAACACCAACAAGTCTATTGCATTAGATGGATAGTGAATAAGTACGTACGTATTGAAACATAAAATCCGTGGACCATGGTTTTAGTCTTCAAGATGAAAATGTCTAAATAATTGTTAAAAATTTGAGACTCTTTTTCATAGAAAGTTAAAGCTAAGACGTAGCTAACTAATGTAAATAAACGTACATAGTTTCATCGTGTATTCGAGACTATCAAGAGTTCAACTACATATCACTTGAGGGATTTGAAATGTAAAATAGCAAAAGGTTGGTAAGAAAATTTAAAGCAATTGGTTGCAATGCATCTATCATAGTAATAATTATTTATACATGCCTCTGTCGAGATGTGGAGTAATAAATCTACGCATGCCACTGTCGAGATGTGGAGTAATAAATCTATGCATGCCTCTATCGTAGTAGTAGTTATGCATGTTTCTATCGAGGGATACATGTCTCTATTCACATGAAGTAAATACACTTGGCTTTGGAAAACGTAAACGAAGAAAATATCATTGAAAATTATTAATACGCGTGTTTATGCTTTTCCTTATTAAGAGTTTTCTTATTGCAAGGAGTAATGTTGGTCCATTTTCTCTGAACAACACTTTCGAGAGAAATAAGAGATAGAGTGTATATATTTTTAGAATCTGTCTCCCGGTGCTCAGAGTGTTCCTGCAGAAGAAAGTGCGAGAGATGGATACCAACCCTAAACCCTTCTTACTCTTCATCATAACTATTGTGATCGATGTTCTCCATCTTAACCCTCTATATAAAGAAGAGTGGAGAAAAGTGGATTCACATCACATTCAAAATCACAACATATTCTAAAAGATGAAAGGATTCAAAACCATGAGCAGATACACCAAATCTGGATTCAGCAAATCCTCTTCCACTCCTAAAGTCGGTACGTCAGAGAGAGTTTTCTCGGCCACTCCTAAATCTGAAAACCAACAACTTCCACCAGCTGAAGACATAGTTGATGACGATTTGGTTTCTCCATTCATCTACCCTAGTAACCTCAGATACAGTAGAAACGCTTTCAAGAAGATGACCAAAGAGGAAGATGCTGACGGCTCTGACTCCGAGAAGGGTCAAGAAGAGGAAGGCGACACCAATGACATTCCTACGGATCATGGCAACTCTTACTACGGACAAGGGTGGAACCAACAATCAGGCCCTTTCAGACGTAGCCCTATCCATCTCCCAATTTACCCTGGCTTGAGCTATGGAAATGATGGTTGCCCCGGTTGTAGCCACAACGGTTGTCCCGGGTGTGAGGGTTGCTCTGGTGGCTCCGGTAAATGCCCGGGATGTGGCCGAAACTATCCTTAAGAAGTGGAAAATGGGGCATGTGGTTGGTTGCTTCCTGAATTAAGTGGCCATAAGTTAGTTTGGTTATTTTCTTTTCTTTATTAATCAAGTGGGTTCTTACCACATTGTTGTTGTCGTCACTAAGTTTGTGTGTTTTTTCTTCTTTTTTTCCTGGTCAAGACTATAGCCACTTGTTAGGATTTAAATATATTCTATTGGAATGTTTCTATGTTATCATTTTTCTTTAAGGAATTTGTTGGATGCATATATATATATATATATATATATATATATCGTTTTACTTAGATATCGTAATGAGAAAGGAAAAAAGAAGTGATTAATAAATAGTTATACTAGGACAAATAAGCTTTTGACTTTGGGGTTGATAGTCTACTGAATAATGCGACCCGTTCAAGCATCTCTAGAATTTTTTTGAGGATAAACAATAAACCTACCAAAACAAAGAGAAACGCATCATGCGACCAAATTGTGTTCAAGACAAATGAAACTGATGATAAAATTTCAGGAGAACAAGTTTTGTCATCTGAGGTTTGTTTATCAGATTATCCTGAATTGGAAGCATCAGCTTTTAGTTCTAGAGAGGGAAAAGGTTCTTATTTTAATTTCTATACAACCACTCTTTGAACTGAGGAGTGAGATGAAATCTATTGCACCATATTTTTGTCCCATAAAAATTTAATTAAGTATTAATTGATACCAAATAGTAAAGCAAGTATACTGATCATGTGTAGTCAAGTATATGTCGCGTAAATGATAGGGAGAGCACGTTTAGTTATCCTAATACATCTCTTAAGGTTCCTCCTAGTGAATTAAAGTTATGGTACAATCTTCGAACCATTTCATATATATTGTGATGTTATGTATAGTACGAGCTAAAAGTTTAAACTAACTAATGTAGAGTACATAAGATGTTATACAAAAGGCTAGGTAAGGGAGTGAAGCAGAGGAAAACTGAGAGGAGGGAGAGAACCTCCGGCGTCGACACACCGAGGCCGGAGCAGGTCGGAGAAACTACTTTGTCGCTTTTGGTATCACCTTTATATCTAGTCTGATAATATAAAACGCTGTAAAGTTTGCGTATGCTGTCGCACGTTTTAATTTTTGTTCTCGCTCCAGAGCAAATAGAGTAACTGATCATATATAATGTGACTTCTTCTTCTTTCCAGTCACGCAATACTGAAAAGACATGATTATAAATTTGGACCGGTACCCACAAATTCAAACATGACTCATGCGTAAACCAAGTTATTGGAAATATTGAACATGACTTTTGAAATGTGTTCAAAAAACAAAACAAAAAAAAAAGAACATGACTTTTGAAAATGAACACCATCCTACGAAAACGAAAAGTACAACACAAGAAGTCTACAAACACATGATTCATTTTTTATTCTTCTTTTTCTTCTTAAAAGTTTTAATCCAACATGTGACTTTAAGGACTGTATTTTTGTAATTTTATTAGATGAGTGTCCACAAACTTGTGCAAGATAGATGATGCATCGTTGCGAAATGACATTAGTGGTTAAAAATATAAACCAAATCATTACTTGGAATCGAACTAAATATGAAGTGCGATAATAACACACATAAATCAATATTTTTTGCTTAGAATGACAGATCTTACACGCAGAACTTGCTACCAGTACCGATGATACTTCTCAGTAGCAATGTTTTCCATACACATTCCCCAAGTCTTTGATAGGTCAGTCTCAATTTACTGATTGACTTTTTTTTTTTGTTCTTTGTTTTTTTTCAACTACTGACATATATATACTTATTACATAATAGATGTTGATATTTGATAAAGGTGGTGAAATGTTATTACAAGATCCACCCCCCATTTTTTAAAAAGTTGTCTCAGTTGCAGTTGGTGTCGTAGCTTGCAAGACCGAGTAATTCTGGTCCCTCCAATCGCGGGTTGTTCTCAAAGCTGCACAATTGTTTTTGAGTAATTAGCAACACATTTTCATATGCAACTTTACCAGTTTTTTTTTTTTTTTTTTTTTTGTAAACTGGCTTAACTTTACCAGTTTTATATGCAATATCCAATTCAATTGTATCTGAGACAAAAAAAAATGATATGAAGGCCCATTTCTAGAGATGCAAAGAGCCTATGTGCTACAATATGTGGGCTTATTAGTCATAAATCTTTTAACCTCTTCCTAGTAATTAATTAGTACAGTATATAAGGACTAAATAAAGATTTGTTGAGAAAGGGAATCTAGAGATTGGATTCATCATTTTCACGGGAGATGAGAGATATAACACAATCATATCAATATACTAAACTACTTGGACGTATTAGATGATATAGTTAGTTGGTTTATTATGGTTAAGAGTTTACTCATTCCTCATGAGAAAACACTTTTTGCAATATGGGTGAGAATATTCAAAATGCAGGAGAAACACTATCAAGAAACTTTGTTGGCCCAAGTGAAACATTAAAAAACTTACTTCTCCAAAGGAATATATTCAAAAGGTCCTTCTGTTGGGATAGGTCCACACAAATCATTGTTCCTCACATCACTGAGAAAAAAATATATGTTATTAAGCAAGACCATGGAGTCAATAGGTTGGATGAAAAGGGCTTCAAAGGCTGAACTTACAAGACTTTAATGCTTGGAATTTTCCTAAGTTCTGTAGGGACTGAGCCAGTCAATCGGTTGTCATTGACCCGGCTGCAACATTAAAACAGTTCAGAGTATGAGGAGAAAGCATAACAAAGAATCTACCTAGCATACAACTTTTTAGGATAATAGCACCACAATTTGTTTTATGAATTACACAATAGTAGAACTAGTTACTTTACTCAGCAAATTTTCTTTTTCAGAATTTTAGAAACAACTTACAAAAAGACCAGTGACGTCAATTTCACCAAAGAAGTAGGAATATTCCCGGTAAGATTGTTGTTGTACAGATCGAAGCTGATGAGATTTTTCAGATTTCCAAGTTCAGAAGGTATAGTTCCTTGGATGTTGTTTTTGTAGAGCTCCCTGTGTCAATCAATTATAAGACAAGTAAAAAAGTTAATTAATCTACATTCTCTATTACATAATCAAATCTCGTAGTGGATGCTTTAGCTGCACTTTATGATATGTAACTTTATTTCCACTATCTAACTTTATAAAAGCTGGTACTGGGGAAAAAGTTAGAGAAAAGAGTATATGACATACAAAAACTGTAACTGTTCCAGATTCCCAAGCTCAGGTGCAATATGTCCTGAAAGGTTTGAATTACCCAAATCCCTGCAAAAAAAAAAAGAAAAGAGAAGAATATAATCAGAGATACATTTTTAAGAACAGAATACAAATCTTTATATCAAGGAGAAAGAGACAAAGCCATTACAAAACATATTAAACATTCTGAATCCGAGAATCTTCTAAAAGTATAAGAACTCACCAAGCATGGAACAAAAAAGTAAATCTAAATCAGTAGCAAAAGCATTCAGAAAATCATTGAGGTACAAGCAAAAATTGAACTGCTTAATAGATGGGATAACATTGAAGATTCTTTGGAGACTTTAAGGAATCCAATGACTTAAAAGAGTGATCTACACTTTGCAAAACATTAGAGCTTTAGATTTCCCCTTTTTTCATACTAGAAAGTAAAACAAAGAAAGTGTTTTTATTTTTTGCTTCTAACGCCGTACTCTGCATATGAATCTGTGAAAAAGGACTATATGATAAGATATTTTCACTACCCTTAGAAAGAACCAAATTAAAGTAACAAATGAAACCTGAATATAAACTAAATCTTCATTTGAGTTGACAACAGTCAAAAAAAAAAAAACATCTGGGCAAAAGCTAGAATTAATCAAAGAAATCTCCAATCATGATGACATTAATCGACTGAAAATTAAAAAAAAATATTTAATACGAAATTAGAAAACAAAACACATAAGCTATGTCTTCAAACAAATAGAGCAAAGAGAGAAAGAAGGTTCAATTCCGAGAAACATGGAGAACAGAATCTACAAACAATAGAATCGAAAAGAAGGATTCTTACACACGAGTGACGCGTTGGTCTTGGTTACAGGAGACATGGAACCAAGTGCAAGGAGTAACAAGATTCGGATCCCAGCTCTCGAGCACATGGTCTGGATCCGACAAGCTCTGTCGAAGAGCGTATAGAGCATCACCATCTGGGTTTGCCTCCACCAGGTTAATCAGAACCAAAGTTAGAGTCAGAGAAGCTACCAAGAAGAGCTCACAGTTCTTACGAGACGCCATGAGAGCTAACGAAAAAAAGAAAAAGAAGTTTAGGGTTTCGTTTACTCTCTCCCTTTACTCTCTCTTTGTTGAAGTTTGATGAAAACGATTACGGAAATGACGGATAGATATATACTCCCTCTGTTTCAATATAAGTGTCACTCTGCAGCTATGCACACGGATTAAGGAAACAATTAATTTTACATATTTCCTATATAAAAACACAATTACCCATACACCTAACCATATTTTAACCAATAGAAAAATAAATTACATAATAAAATTAATAAATTTTACATTGAAAACCGAAAACGACACTTATTTTGTAACACAAAAAAATCTCTACAATGACACTTAATATAAAACGGAGGGAGTACTACTTTTCAGTGTACTTTCTTACAGTTTTTTTAACAAAATACATTCCTGTCTTTTTTCTTTAATTTAATTGGTGTGGGATTTGCTTTAGCTTTGAAATTAAATAAACTATACAAATAAAAACCTTTGAACTTCTTGTTTTTTTCTGTCACAATCGTTTTATAATAATAGGGACCCACAACAGTAACAGTACCGCTTGATTTTAATGAGGAGAAGAAAACAGTAACGCTTGATTTTAATTTTGAGGAGAAGAAAAGTCTTTTCTAACGTTATTTTTGGTTTTAAAAGTCAAGTCTAGTCTTCTAGTGCTTGGTCAAAGAAGAGTAAAGAGGTTGAGTAGCGTTTGGTCAAAATTGGAAACTAGAGTTCACGCGGAAACTAACAGTGTTACTTTTGTATTGACTGGATTGCGTTACGGTTTGGTAAATCTGTATGGAATAAGTGCACTAAACTAAAAAAGAGATATTAAGTGCAACTCAAATTTTTAAAAAATATTTAAGTAAAAAGTCAATGAAATTCGAAATGTATTTAAGATGGAATCTGATCCGACAAACGCATAGTAGGTACTTAAATGTCTGGAATAAAAGCAACTCCACTTCTTCCTTTAAAATAATGAGATTAGATGACAAAATTAAGGGACAGATTGTTCTTTTTCACCTTAAAATTTTAATTTAAGGGGGTGATGATCGAATAATGAACATTCTTAACGAAAAATAGTCGTATGTAAAATTGAGAACCCAAAGTCGAGATCTGTAACGTTGATTGTGATGGGCTTTAGGCAGGCCAGGCCGAAAAAGGTCCTATCAACATCCCTAACGGCCTAAGAAAAGGCCAGCTATGTAGTTAAGTTTCTTACTAGAAAGCACATGTTGCCTTATGGGATGTGACCTAGGAATTGAACTAGGAACTCAACACAATGCTGATTTGTTGATACTGTAATCATTTCGTATGTAAACATATTTAAAGATATTTTTAGGATATTGTTTCAAGGAGGAATGTGATCCTTCAGAAAAAGTAGGAATGTGATCTTTGCATATAATAAAACACACAACAAGCAAGTATTCTTTAGAAATTGTTATTCTCTTCTGTAATGGTTATAATTAACTTCTGGTTGCACTGTTCATAGTCTTCAAGCCTACGGCATTGAATCTGGAACCAGCGGTCGTTTCTTGGGAAGGAAGAAAGCTTTAAAAATATGGTTTTAATGATTTGAAAAAACAAAGTGAGAGGATGTGATTGAATTTACCCAAAAATAGACCCTTTATTCCCTCACATTTCAACATCCTCTCCCATCAACCAGTTGGAATGTTAAGAAACAAACATGACAAGTTCAGGCGTCTCACTACGTCCAATTAATTTTTATTATTTAATTGATTTTTTTGGTGTATCTTCCTTTGTTTAAAATATTATCAAAATCATTATGTGTCAAAACTTACACAAATAGTAAATCGACTCCAAAATTATGGTTTTGAAAAAGAAAAAAAAAGATGAAAGTCCCGCAATAATCTCTCCTTGATTCTCTTTCTTTCCATTTCTCTCTTTCTCATCCCTATCCAAATGGATCTCTCTTTTGATCATTAGCATCTATTTGATCCACATTACATTTTTTCACGATCTGCGCTTACGTCATGTGTCTGTAAATTTTCATTCTTTGAATCTTGGTTTGAGGGGCGATGGGGGCCGTTGCTAGGACCGTGTTCCCCGTATGCGAAAGCCTATGTTGCTTTTGTCCTGCTTTGCGTGCCAGATCCAGACATCCCGTCAAGAGATACAAACAACTTCTAGCCGATATCTTCCCTCGTTCCCCGGTTTGGCTTCTTACCATTTCACATCTTGAATCTACCATGTCGCATTTTCCTTAAAATATGACGTCATCATTCCCATTTCTTTAACGATAGCAGTTTTATTTTTGCATGAGCTTTATCCTTAGCTGTTGACAGCAAACACAAGTTTCATCAGATTAACTCAAACCGAATATCTGCTGAATTTTTCTATTAGTGTATTATATTGCACGACGGATCAAACTCGCAAAAAACAAGAAAGAAACGCAAATGTCTATTTTAAATATTTGGTTATTGATTCTGTGAATTAATAATTTATAATCCTTAACGAAATATGTTATTTTACTGGGTGTAACTAGATGTAAGTCGCTTTCAGAATCAACATGTTTTCAAGAATTTAAAGTGTTTTTTGTTTAACTTTGTCTTAATCCACTTCTCCTAAATTATGCTTACTAATATGCAGGATGAGCAACCTAATGACAGAAAAATCAGTAAACTATGTGAATATGCTGCCAAAAACCCTCTTCGTATCCCTAAGGTGACTTTCCACAAACTATAATTCTTTATTACATTTTTGTGATTTAGTTATCTTCAGATTGTTTTTGAAAACAATGGGTTCTATAAACTAATTTTTTTTTTATTCAGATTACAACCTATCTTGAACAAAGGTGTTACAAAGAACTGAGAATGGAGCAGTTTCACTCTGTAAGGATTGTTATGTGTATCTACAAGAAGCTCTTGGTTGCCTGTAATGAACAAATGTATGCTCTCTGCTTTTTTTATCTAATTCAACATAAATAATAAAACTCTGCTTTAAGATAAAATTATGGCTTTTTTCCTAATGAATTTATATATTTCAGGTCATTGTTTGCTAGTAGTTACCTTGGCCTCATTCATATTCTTCTGGATCAATCGAGGCATGATGAGATGCGTGTTTTAGGTTGTGAAGCTATCTATGATTTTGTTACAAGTCAGGTGCATATCTCTTGATAAACTTCCTGTCTTATGACAAAAAACATCAGACTCTAGAGACTGATGATCTATGTCATTGATTTTTTTTCAGACAGAGGGCACATACATGTTTAACTTAGATGGGTTGATCCCAAAAATATGTCCTTTAGCTCACGAACTGGGAGAAGAAGAAAGAACAATACATTTGTGTTCTGCTGGCCTCCAAGCTCTCTCATCCTTGGTTTGGTTCATGGGAGAGTTTTCACATATCTCAGTGGAGTTTGACAATGTAAGTTTACTTGGAAGCAAGTATAAAAGAACTCTAAACTGTTAAAATCATTCATCCTAACGTTTTTTTCTTTTCAGGTTGTCTCTGTTGTCTTGGAAAATTATGGAGGAGTTGTTCAATCATCCACTGGTTCGGTACAACAAGACAACAACAACAATGCTTCTGAACTTTCTCCAGCAGAAGCTGAGACAAGGATTGCTTCTTGGACAAGAATTGTGGATGACAGAGGCAAGGCCATTGTATCTGCGTAAACCCTTAAACTCAACCCTTAGTTTTTATTTATAGAGTATATATACATATGTACCCTTCTCTTTTGCTGATTAAAAAAAAACATGCAGGGAAGATGCTAAAAACCCTAAGTTTTGGTCGAGGGTTTGTCTGCATAATCTTGCAAAGTTAGCAAAAGAAGCAACAACAGTTCGGCGTGTACTCGAGTCACTCTTCCGCTACTTTGATTTCAATGAAGTTTGGTCCACAGAGAACGGTCTTGCTTTATATGTTTTGCAGGACGTTCAGTTACTAATAGAAAGATCTGGTTTGTAATGTCTTCTTCATTTGGTTTATTACAACATCTTTGTTACTGACTACTACTAATAGTGTTTTTGTTAACTGACGACAGGGCAAAACACACACTTCCTCTTGTCAATCTTGATCAAGCATATGGATCACAAGAATGTTCTAAAGAAACCTAAGATGCAACTAGACATTGTTTATGTTGCAACTGCACTTGCTCAACAGACTAAAGTTCAGCCATCTGTTGCAATAATTGGTGCGTTGAGTGATATGATTAGGCATCTGAGGAAGAGCATTCATTGTTCGTTGGATGATTCAAATCTTGGCAATGAGATGATTCAGTATAATCTCAAGTTTGAAACTGCAGTTGAGCAATGCTTAGTGCAGTTATCACAGAAGGTATTAACTCATATTGAATCTGAAATCTATACAACACTTGCTGGAGATAGTTCAGTTTCTCCAGAACTGATAGTTTCTCTGATAATGTAGGTAGGAGATGCAGGTCCTATCCTTGACATAATGGCTGTCATGTTAGAAAGCATGTCAAACATTACAGTCATGGCAAGAACTCTCATCGCCGCTGTTTTCCGGACAGCACAAATCATAGCAGCTATACCAAATCTATCATATGAAAACAAGGCAAGATTGCTTATACCTTGAATCTGTTTTAAACCAAAAACTGCTAGTGAATAAGAAGATAACAATCCAATATTTGCACAGGCTTTTCCAGATGCACTATTCCATCAGTTGCTTCAAGCAATGGTCTGTGCTGACCATGAATCTAGGATGGGTGCCCACCGTATATTCTCTGTGGTTCTGGTCCCATCTTCTGTTTGTCCAAACTCAGTTCCAAAGTCTAGAAGGCCTGCTGATATGCAGAGGACACTGTCAAGAACCGTGTCTGTGTTCTCTTCTTCAGCTGCACTGTTTAGAAAACTAAAGGTGGAAGCAGATAACTCTGTAGATGGTGCTGCAAAGATTGAGAGAGTCTCAACGCTTAGCAGGTCACAGTCAAGGTTTGCTAGTAGAGGTGAGAGTTTTGATGAGGAGGAGCCAAAGAACAACACAAGTTCAGTCTTGAGCAGGTTGAAGTCAAGTTACAGCAGGAGTCAAAGTGTGAAAAGGAACCCATCATCAATGGTATCTGATCAGAATCCTTTGGGAGATTCAGGAGAGAAACCAGTATGTTTTATACTTTCTCTTGTTATAGATTAACTCTGATGAGGTTTTATCATTTGCTTATAATTGGTTTTGTGTGTCCTTTCAGGTGATACCTTTAAGATTAAGCAGCCACCAGATTTGTCTTTTGCTTTCATCCATTTGGGTGCAGTCTTTGTCTCCTCACAACATGCCACAAAATTATGAAGCCATTGCTAATACATATAGCTTAGTACTTCTATTTGGAAGGACTAAGGTACAATATGTTATAAAGCTATACTGTCTAGTTACACTATAGTGTTAGTAAGCTACCAAATCTCAAGTGTTTGATAAATATTTATTGTAGAACTCAAGCAATGAAGTCTTGGTATGGAGCTTTCAGCTAGCATTTTCTTTGAGGAATCTTTGTCTTGGAGGTAACTAGTCCATTATACTTGTTTAAGTGTAGATGTTTTCCTGTTATGCATCTAATGTCATGAGAAGTGTTGCAATAACTCTTTTTGTTGTCAATATTAGGACCATTGCAGCCATCAAGGCGTAGATCACTCTTCACTCTGGCTACATCAATGATCATTTTCTCAGCAAGAGCCTTTAACATCCCTCCTCTTGTGAATAGCGCCAAAACCGCTCTACAGGAGAAAACGGTAGACAAACGTTTTTCATCTCTGCTAGTAATTAATTAATACATCGTGATAGTAAAACATGTTCTTGCTTATATATATCAGGTAGACCCGTTTCTACAACTGAAGGAAGATTCCAAGCTAGATGCTGTGTTCTATGGACAAGAAGAGCAACCAGAAAAGAGTTATGGATCAAAAGAAGACGATGAAGATGCTTTAAAATCACTTGTGGCTATAGAAGAAACTACACAGAGTCAACCTCGAGAACATTACGCTGCAATGATTATGAAGTTTCTAGGAAAACTATCAGATGTATGTAACTTTTCATCATTTCTCTTATACTTATCTTGTAATATACTTAACTTAAAACTGTGCTTATGGTTTTAACTTTGCAGCAAGACTCGTCGTCTATAAAGGAGCAGCTAGTTTCAGATTTTATACCTATCGACGGTTGTCCTGTTGGAACACAGTTGACAGATTCTCCAGTTCATACTCACCGTTCTGAAAATAAAAACAACAAACCACGAGAAATGGTGTGTATTGTATCCACCCATCTTTTGTTTTACTCTCTAACATCACTTTGTTTCATTTTGAACTTTTTGTCTCTCCCACAGGATGAAACTCAGTCTCTTATACCGGAGATTGATGCAGCGCCGACTCCTCCAGAGGATCAGCTTGCTCTTGATACACAACCTAATGCCAAAACCGCGTTCCTCCTAAGCATCGATGAACTTCTTAGTGCAGTAAGACCTTTATAAGGCTTCGAGTTTTTGTTTGCACTATGAATCTGCAAAACCTTAAATGAAAAATGTGTTTCAGGTGTCTCAGACAACAGCACAGTTAGGGAGATACTCAGTGTCTGATCCACCAGACATGACATACACAGAAATGGCAGGACATTGCGAGGCACTTCTCATGGGGAAGCAAGAGAAGATGTCTTTCATGTCTGCAAAAAGCAACAAGTTCAGCAACCAAACTAAAGAGAGTAGTACTACTGATTTGCCTGGTGGTGGTGGGAATCCATTTCTGGATCAGACAAACTCTTGGGATCAGACTATGGGAATGGGTGCACCTGCAGCGGCTTCGAATATGTGTGTCACTGAGTACCAAAACCATCCTACTCCTTTCTTTAATCCTCCAAGTTCCACTCCTTTTGACAACTTCCTTAAACCCGTTGGTTCCTCCTAATTAGTTATTTATCTTTGTCTCTCTTCCATATTTATTACTCTTTATAGAACGTGAATAACTATAACTTATTCCATAAAGAAGATGCAAAAATGTAAGTTATTTGCCTAAATAAATACCTTTTTTGGAGTGCATTATCTTCTGATTCTGCAACTTTGATTAGTCATACTAACCGATATTGAAAACTATGCTGTTTATATAACGCACCACTATTAAACTATATGGATCTGATATACTGCTTACGAGAATCACATTCACAACTAATGTTGTTCTATTAAAGGAATTTAACATTGCAATATGTTTCTTCACGTTCAACAGAGAGCGTTACAACTAGTTATAGACATACAACGAGAAAGACCTTAAGGCGCTCTACAACAAACAGACATGAGAGACAAAACAGAGATCCGAAAGCGGTCTCTAAAGAGTAATGATTTTCCTGGGGAGTTGATGTGCTTCATGACCATGGTGGTCATGATCATGGAAGAGAAGGGTTAAGATACCTACCAGACACAGGACCGAACCAACCAGTAGCTTGTCGTATCGCTCCACCCAGTGAAACTTCAGCTGGCTTGCACCGTAGAACGATAGAGCCACCAGAGATGTCATCACCAATATTGTGCTGCCCAAAAAAATATCAAATCACTCTTTCCCTCATAAATATCATACTTCATATATAGAGTTATGTTTACTCGTCTCACCTGATCAGCAGAACTATGATGGCGAGAACCATCATGGGCTTTGAGTTTCCAACAGCGAGAAAAACAGGGAGAGTTGTTGCACATGGAGATAGTGCAGGAACAAGGACAAGCCCAGCAACGGCCATCTTCTCCATGGGTTGGTTATGAGAATGAGTGTGACCTCCTTTACCAGCCAGAAAGAGCAAGACATAGCTTCCACCGAGAATCACAAGCAAAAGTGAAGCAAGCTTGTGAACAGTCTCTTCACCAGCGATGGTATTGGCCATTGTGATCGCTGTTATACCAAGAAGTGAAGTGGATATGACATGCAGGACTGCTCCAAATGCAGCTGAAAAAAAATTAAAAGACAACATCAGAAAAATAAACAAATACAACAACACCAAACCAAACGGAAAAAGATACATTGAAGCATATACTTGAGGGAAACAAGTTCTTCAATCTACATGTAATCACATAGGGAAGCTATAAACATCAATACCTTCCCCAAAGCAAGTCACATTCTCACTCAGTAAAACAAACGAGGTTGCTTAGGAGAGTTCTAACATCTAAACTCTTTATGCATCAGGTTATGCCATCCACTTTCTATATCTACTTGCTTGACATTAATATGTATCTCTCTTCATACATTGTGAATAGAGATTTGTTCTAAGCTCAGTAACTCTTTAAAAGCCTACTCACATTAGTGTCTAGACGGCAAAACCAGACCTAAACAAAACGATTTTTCTTAATCAATAGTCCTCTATAAATCGCTTAATTGCCGCCTCGCGATTTCTTCAACATTTCTCATTACAATGTAAGATCCATCAAGATCTCATATCAACCTTCTATTGCAGCTTAAGGAGCTTCAGATTCTGTTAAACTCATCATGAATATCCATCCACAAAGACATTAGGCCATTGAAGAAAATCAGTTTGAATCATTCATAACAATCTATTTCTAGCTCAATCATAAACAATCAATGCCTTAGGATTGAATCGAGATGCAGAATAAAACAGAAACATCTAAAAGAAAATCGAGAAACATACTGACGAGGAGCGTCCTCGAAAGCGTCCATTTCTGCGCGCGTCCAACGATTGAGAAAGGTAACCAGTGCGTCGGAATAAACGAATGGAGGAGCGACACGGTGGCGATTCCGCCGATCGTCGAGAGATCCTCCGCCGTAAAAGTATCCATGCTTCCTTCTTCTTCTTCGCCCGTTAAAATTTAATTAAAACAAATATGATCCGCGAGAGATTCGATTGCAGATCTGAGTCTCCGATGATATGAATCAGAAAAGAGGTAGTTACATTTGATGAAGACGAAGCTTTGTAGAAGCAAATCAGTGAACTGTTACGCCATCGCCCCCAAGAACCGAATCGGATCACTGAGATTTTTATTGGGCCTATGTCGACTGCATGAGGAGTCGATAATAAGATTGGGGCCTTAACGTCAGCCTTTTAACATAACTATCTAAATTTAAATTGATAATAAAGGTTCTAAAGGATTTGGAATTATTTTTAAAGGGTTTGAAATTGTTTTTAAATGATTCATAATTTTTTTCTTTTAAGAATCCAAAATTGTTTGTGAAATGTTCATAATTTTTTCTGAATGGTTTAGAATTTTTTCTTAAGCATTCAAAATTCTTTCTTAAGAATTCTAAATATTTTCTAAAGGGTTCAAAAATTTTTCTAACGGATTTAAAATTTTTCTAAAGGATTTTAAATTTTTTTTGAAGGATTCGAAATTGTTTTTGAAGGGTCTAGAATTGTTTCTGAAGACTCCTAATTTTTTTTTAAGGGTTCAAAATTGTTTCTGAATAATTAATTTTTTTTTTAAAAAGGGTTCAAAATTGTTTCTAAAAGGTTCGGAATTGTTTTTGAAGGCTCTAGAATTTTTTTTTTAGTAAATGTAAAACAAGAACAATGCTCTGAAATGAAAGGGATTTTGGAAACCATTATAGCATGTAGAATTATGAGACACACGAACACAAGGTAATTAGGATTGGTATTACTGTATTGAAAAGGTTAACTAAGAGTTAGGATTCGTATTTCAAAGCAGTCTGTCCACAAGAACCTTGTAAAAATTTGGAAGAAAAAACCAGGAATACAGATAAAGCAAACTATATAGTATATACCCCCTCCTCTATGGTTGGTTATTAACCTGAGAAAATTAATACTTAGAGGCTCTAAGTGGTTCGTTGTCTAACATGTCGGCTGCTGATATCTCCACTGTCACCCCCGTCTGATAGTTGACCCCACACGCTCTCAGACTTGGCTTCTTCGCTGCTATTGCTGCCTTCCTCGTAACCAGCCACCGCCTTCAGAAGCTCGGTTTGGAGGGTCAGACATTCATCCTTCATCTCTTTGTAAGCGTCTGTCTCCAGGACAGCTGCAATATCGAAACCAAAATTGCATGAAACCAAACCGAAAAACAAAATGATTTTACTTGACTTTGATTCCCATAAGAACAAGAAAACCAAAACACAGTTAAACTGTAAACAAGGTTGTCCACACGAAATTCCAGTATAAGAAGCATACCTGCTAGGTTCTCGGCAGTGAATAATAGGCAAGCGCTCTTTAGTTCTGTAGCTTTACATCTATCAGCCAATGCTAAGATCTTGGCGACGGATTTTACTGTTACGCCTTTGCAGATGTGAGCTTCACACAACAACCTGAGCCTATTCATGCCATACTTTTCCGCAGCTGCTAAAAGCTTTACAATCAATGTATCGTATATTTCAGGCAGGTTTAAGTGCTCAAATGTTAGAGTCGTCACAGGCTCCACATTTTCTGGAAGAGAATCTTTATACATGAATTGTAGCAAAGCCTGGAAGAAACACAGAGCTTAAATAAAGGCATGATTTGAACAAGTAAAGAGAAAACACCAATGATGTATGTACCTTAAAAACCTTAGGTTCCACATCGTTGATAGTAACCTCTGCATTGTTTGCGTCAAGCTCATAGAAAAATTTAGACTTGAAATATGGAGATCGAGCAGCCAGGACTAGTTTATGAGCTTGGAACTTCTCACCAGCAATGTCAAAAGTGACATCAGAACCTTCCATGCTATCAAGTAAAACTCCAAAATGTGATCCAAGTTCTGAATCAGGGACGCGAACAGAGTGTGATTGTGGGCACTGTACCTCAGAAACCACAACTCCAACCGTACAGTTGATTATCAAGCAATCGTCTTTGAGATAGTCAGATGTCTCAAGCTGGGTACGTCTGATGAAACGCTTATATCCCCTAATAAAACCACAAAGAAGAAAAGAGAGTTATAGAAGCCTTGAGTTAGCAGATCGTAAGCAAAACAATACATGTAAAGAGAAGATCAAATATACTCTTTTTCTTTAAAAAGGATCAAAAGTAGAATAGAAGACACACATCTTCTTCAATGAATTTATAAACGTTGCCAGACAAACTAAGCTAAGATTATTCAAGCTCAAACGCTTTAGAAACAATAAATTTCCCATTCAAAATTCCCTTTCCATCATGAACATAAACCAACCCCATCTTTTCCTTATTGTTCTCACGAACAAGATTTGGAATGGTCACACTACTCATGAGTCAGAGGAATTCTACAACACCAACTACAGCTAGCTAAAGAGGAATGTTACTACAGCTAGCTAAACTCTTCAATGATCACGCTTTACACAATTTACAAGGAACATCATGCAGCACTAAAAGAGTTCAAATTTGGATTCCTACATCAGCAATTTACAAGCTTCGTCAATGAAAACAAAAAAACTAAGCTAAGACTATGTCTGGGATTCAACTTAAACAGCTTAAACGCTTTAGAAACTATAGATTTCCCAGTCGATTCCCTCTCCGTCATAACCATAAAACCACTCACCCACATCTCTCTTATTTGCCACCATATTGTTCTCACAAACAAGATTTGGAACAGTAGCATCACTCATAAGTTAAAAGGAATGTTACTACCATTAGCATCATGCAGCATTGAAAGAGTTTAAATTTGGATCCCTAATTACCAATTCACAAACTTTAAGTACACCCAGCAGCTATTGGAGTCCAAGCAAGCACAAGATTCCTCAATAAAAAAACTAAACTCATCACGTGCTGTATATTAAAAACGCACGTGACCACTTTAACATCTTTGGATTCAAATAAAAAAAAACAAGAACTGTGTGTGTTGTAACCATACCACATGCTTCCTTTGTATTTAAGAGTATAAGGCCCAGTATCAAGCGACCTCTCGAAATGGCTATGAACCTTATGCCTCCCTTTCCCGCTCTGATCAAAAAGCGAGATCTCGAAAATCGCCCTTACCTCACTCCCTTCGCTACCCAACGCGACGAAGACGGAGACGTAAGCGGAGTTATCCTCTTGATTCTTGCCGTCGGGGAAGAAGAAGATCCCCCACTCGTATCCTCCCACGGAGAAGTTATCGCTCGCTAT